TTTTTTATTTCTTTGACCTCATTGTTAGTTTGCTCTTGAAGTTTTCTAATTTCTTTTATTTCCTCCCCGAGAATACTTTGTATTTCCTGGATAAGTTCTCTGTTTTCAACAACAAAATTCCTTCCCCTGCCACTCGCTCCTTTCATTTGTTTTTTATTTAAATCTCCTTTCATAAGTTTTAAATGATGTGCTAACACACCATAAATATTATATATTACTGCGTGCGAAATTATTTTCCGCTTTTTGTTTTTAACTGAATTACGCAGTAATTTAACTTTACTAGAAAAGCGGACATTTAATTTGCACATTGTAATATTGTCAATGCTTTAAATGCTTTATATTATTTTACGCTCATTTTTTTAAAAAAACGCAGGACCTCCACTGCTTTTATTCTTTTTATGTGTTCTCATAAGGAGAACTTGTTTGTTTTTTTTTTTTTGTGATTGATGCCATATTACTTTTTTAACCTTTAATTATATTTTATACAAGAATTAAGTCCAAAAACCTCAATTTTTAACTTTTTTTCTGCTTCCGCAAGAAAATTTTCCTAAGGTTTTTATTTTCTCTTGTTTGGCCTCAACCATCATTTTTACCATTGTTATTATGGTTTAAGAAAGTTCGGAGGACCTCTTTGCTTTTCTTAAAATCTTTTTATAGCCTTTTGTCGCAATGAATAAAAAAAATGAGGTGCCAATGACCCGAATGAAAGAACTGATTTCCTTAATTGAAAAATGAAATTACGAATATTACATTCTTAATCAGCCCAGTGTTGAGGATGCGGTTTATGATAAACATTGACAAGAATTACGAGAGTTAGAAGCCAAATACAATTACATTTTGCCTAATTCTCCAACCCAAAAAGCCGGCCAGACTGCCAGCCCCAAATTCCGTCCAGTGGCACGCCAAAATCCCATGTTAAGTTTGGATAGTGTGGATAATTATGAGAATTTATTGAAATTTGATGAAAGAGTGAAAAAGCTATTGAAAACTGACCAAGAAATTGAATATATTTGCGAATGAAAGATCGATGGTTTATCGGTGAGTCTGGTTTATCGTAACCACCAATTAACGCAAATCAGCACCCGTGGCAACGGAATTATTGGGGAAGATATAACTTTTAATAAAGGGCTATTAAAAAATGCTCCTCTTTTTTTAAAAGAAGTTGCTAATTGCGAAGTGCGGGGGGAAGTTTACATGAAAAAAGAAGAGTTTTTGCGTCTGAATGAAGAATTAAAAAAATCTGGTCATAAATTATTAGCCAATCCTCGTAATGCGGCCGCTGGCAGTTTACGCACTCTGGTTCCTCTCCAAAATAGAAATCTACATTTTTTTGCTTATCAATTATTCAATAGCAATTTGCCGTCCCAATTGTCTTGTCTCCAAGAATTAGAAAAATTGGGGTTTGTGGTTAGTCCTGATTATCGTTTATTCAGAAACATTGAGGAAGTGGAAAAATTTATTCAGCAGCAAGAGAAAAAACGGGGGTTCTTGGAGTTTGAAAGCGATGGGGTGGTGGTTAAAGTAAATGATTATAAATATTATGAAAAATTGGGACAGACCAGCCGTTTTCCCCGCTGGGCTATAGCCTATAAATTTCCGGCTTCGTTGGCGGTCAGTCAAGTTCAAAATATTTATGTGGAAGTAAGCCGCAACGGCCGCATAACTTATGTGGCCGAAATAATTCCGGTAATTTTACAAGGCAGTAAAATTAGCAAAGTAACACTCCACAATTACGCTTTTATCGCTAATTTAGAGTTAAATATCGGTGATGAAGTAGTAATCAAAAAAGCAGGGGATGTTATTCCCCAAATAACCAAAATAATTAAATTAAGAGATAATGCCAATTGACAACCCCCAAGCCATTGTCCTTCTTGTAATTCAAATTTAAAATGAAATTCCACCAATATTTATCAATTGTGTGAAAACAAAGAATGTCCGCAAAAAGTTGTTAATTATTTAGTTCATTTTGCCTCCAAAAGAGGCTTAGATATTAAGGGTATCAGCACGAAAAATATTCAAAAACTTTATGAGAATAATTTATTGAACCAGCCGGCTGACTTTTATCGTCTTTATCAAAAGGAAAGACAATTGTTAAAATTAGAAGGGTTTCGGAAAAAGAGTGTTGACAATATGCTACGCTCAATAGAGAATTCCAAAAAAAGGCCTCTGGATAATTTATTAACGGCATTGGGAATCCCACTCCTCAGTTCGGTCAAAGCCCAAAAATTAACTAAGTTTTATCCGAATTTAACTAGTCTTCTTACAGCGGTAAAAAATGAAGAATGAGAGAAATTTCGGGAGATTTTGGGAGAAGAGACCCAAAAAGAATTAAAAAAGTATCTTTCAGAACCCAAAAAAATCTCTCTTTGTTAGAAGAAATGAAATTAATTAATGAAGTAAACAATTCTCCTCTTTCATAACGCAAATTAGATTTTTAACTTTTTTCCGTGGATGAGAAGTATGTTCAAAATCGTAATAAAGCACCAAAAATAAATCTTTATTGCTTTCTCTATCTTTTTGAGGCAAAAATAATTTATTAAAAATGTAATCTTCTTCTAAAATACCAATCATTCTAATTTCTTCGGTTATTGGCAACTGCCAAAGTTCACTACTCAAAATAAACTTTTTGATTTTTTGGGAATTTTTTATTTTGGCAA